AGGAAAACGGAACTAATAAGCTACCACCAACCGAAGAGTTCGGGAAAGGTCAAAAGGAGACACCACATGTCCAACCACCTCCTAGAATCCTTCTCTCTGGCATCTATCTTGGCTGAACAAGGCCTGCACCACCAGGAAGGACTCTGAATCAAAATGATTGGCTAAGGACAACCTGGAAACTAATCCCATCACCATAAAACCCAAGACTGCAAGCCATGTGGCAGAGCAGTTCTCCTGGGTTCCCTTACCCTCCTGCTCTCCACCCGAGTGCCCTTTCCCAATAAAATCTCTTGCTTTGTCAGCACATGTGTCTCCTCGGACAATTCATTTCCAAGTGTTAGATAAGAGCCCAGTTTCAGGCCCTGGAAGGGGTCCCCTTTCCTGCCACAATAGGAAAACACAATATTTTCAAGATGTCAGTTTCTTACAACATCATCTATAAGTTCAATATACTCACAATAAAAATGCAGCAAGTCATTTTATAGGTGTTGGCAAAATAATTCTAAAGTTTGTATGAAGAGGCATAATTCCCAGAATAGTCAACCCAATATTGAAGAAGAAAATTGGGGAATGGACCTTATTCCATGTCAAGCCTTACTATATAGCTACAGTAAGCAAGTTAGTGTGCTGAAATAAGACAAACTAATCAATGGGACAGAATAGAGAAACCAGAAATAGACCCCATAAATGCCGTCGACTGAATTTGGACCAAAGAGCAAAGGCAATATAAAGGAGGAAACAGAACAGGTTCCATCTTGAAAGCAAGATTCCATTTTGGGCCGGACTGTGGACATTGAGCTATATGCCAAGTATCTATGGAAACAAAATACCAATGGAAAACCTGACCCCCCAGATGAAGGAGCCTCAGGACTTGTACCTAGACTCTCCTAAAAGAATATGCTAATTATCTCTGTAACAGAACAAAGTCATAAATCCCATTATGCTTATCAGGGTATGACCACAGGTCTATTGATAAATGTCCACTATTTAACTATCTAGGCTTATGACACATGAATCATGGGTTAACTTTGATTGTATCTCTCTTTTACCTTGTCCAGACTAGTTTCAAGGAATTTGGGGAAGTGGGTTTGAGCACATACACTTAGGGTATAAAAGGTTTTCACAAAAACTGGTCGGGGTCCTTGGCTAAGAGGAGACTCTTGGGGCCGCTGGTGTAATAAACTGCACTCTACTATCTGCATTGTACTTCTGAGTGAGTTTGTTTCCTGGAACCCGTAGCTACAACAAATACAACAGAGAAAAAGTAGTCTTTTCAACAAATGGTACTTGAACAATTGAGCATACGCACACACACACACATACACAAATTAGATGCTGATCTAACACCCATCACAAAAAAAATAACACAAAATATTATTGCTGCTATTTTTACTTTCATTTCCATAGGGCAATGATTGGAAAAAAAAAACAACTATGTATTAAATATTTATGGAGTATAGAGTAACAAGAGATTTTCATCTGTTACCTCATTTGAATCTTTAAGCTAGCCAGTGAAACTAGTGATCTATTTATTTTTCATGTGAGGTGCCTCTGCTTTGAGGTAATTTATAAAGATCACAATGAGAGGGTAACAGGCAGGGAAGGTCAGGGGTCTCCAAAGAGAGGAAATAGGCTGTAAGTGTCAGACTTTTTCTTTTTTAATCTCTCTCTTAAGCTGCAGGAGGAAACAAATAAGTGTTAGATTTCTTCTCCTTCTCTATATAAATTTAAAAGGAGGTTTCTCTTAAAATTCTGTGTTGCCATGATGACACCTGGCTCCACCTGAATTTAACTTTTCTCAAACCTTGAGCTAACCAATGCATTTTTCTTATGGAAATGTTTGTCTTAAGCTGTGTTAATGTACTACGTATTTACCCTAGACTCTGTCTTCAAGTGGTTTCTGCCAAAGATTCAGAACCAATTTTTTGGACTCTATGGGAGAAGGTGAGGGTGGGATGATCTGAGAGAACAGCATCAAAACATGCATATTATCAAGTGTGAAACAGATCGCCAGTCCAGGTTGTATGCAAGAGACAAGTGCTCGGGGCTGATGCACTGGGATGACCCAGAGGGATGGGATGGGAGGGAGGTGGGAAGGGGGTTCAGGATGGGGAACACATGTAAATCCATGGCTGATTCATGTCAACGTATGGCAAAAACCACTACAATATTGTAAAATATTTAGCCTCCAAGTAATAAAAATAAATGGAAAAAAATAAAAAAATTAATTTATCATTGTTAAATTTTCCTATATATCAAAACATTTAGCATTATAATATTTCTTTGCTTAAATTCAGCTTTGTTAGATGTTAATATAGACAATCCAGGTTTAACTTATAGTATGTTTTCCTTTAAGCCCATGGTCACAAGTGGAAACACACACATACACACATATATAAGTATACAATAAGAATGTACTTATGTGAATGAATATGGAGAGAAAGTGTAATATTTCATTTTAAGTAAAACTTTGCACATAACAACAACAACAAAAATAACCAATTTGACAAACCAGTATGTTTTACTCATGCATTGTTCTAATCTATGTTAATGAAATTAGCTTGTAAAAGAACACTAAGTCAGTTAGGGTCACAGTTTGACTCAAACATCATTTATAAGTCAATCACACCAAGCTGACCAATATAAATTTTACTGATTGCTTTATTTTACTTTCCAGATTTCTGTGAAAATTTATCTTTCTTTATGAGAAAATTAGCAGAAACAAGCAAACAGGGCAGCACCTCATAGTCAGGAAGACATTATATATTCACAGGTATGTTTAGAACATTCTGTACTTGAGACGTTGTGCTAGTCTCTGAGGACACGGAAGTGAACTAGGCACAGTCCACTCATCTTACAACACCTGAGGTAAAAGGGACGGTAAGACAAAAAGCATCAAATACATAATTTAAGGTTATAAAAGTATATATATTATATATGATGTAAATATATAATATATAAAAATAGATACAAAACTAAATATCTTCAAAATTAAATTAAATTACAAGGAGAAATTGATGGCAAACATCTGATATCGCTTATACATGGAATCTAAAAAAGGGTGCAAATGGACTTTTCTACAAAACTGAAATAGAGTCATAGATGTAGAGATCAAACTTAGAGTTACCAGGTGGTAAAGGGGTGGAAAGGGGTGTGGAGGGATAAATTGGGAAACTGAGACTGACAGATACACAGCACTCTCTGTAAAATAGATAATTGGTCAGGAATACTGCATTGCCCAGGGAAACTCTATAACGTCTTCATTCCTGTGGGGAAAGAATCTAAAAAAGCATGCATACATGTTCATGTACAGCGGATTCACTCTGCTGGACACCTGAAATTAACACAATGTTTATTGGAATATGGTTGTAGATCAAAATTAAAAACAAAAAAAGAAGAAACTGGGAAGCACACCACTAAGATGGGAGAAATGGAAGCACTGGGTTGGCCAAGAATGTTATTTGGATTTTCTATTCTGTAAGATCTTATTCACTGGACAACCCAATACATAAAGACAGAAGATGCATTATAAATTGCTATTTAGTCCATTTCTGGACTCATCAGTATAGTGCAGCTCGTACTGTAAAAATCTAAAACATTCTGTTCTAAACCTTAACCATGCATAAACATTTTTGAGACTGGGTATCACACAGGTAATCAGAGGAGGCAATTCACTATTTTTTATTTAAATGGGGTGAAAGCAGAATTTTTAAAATCCAATAGTGTAAAAAACAGATTGGTATTTGTTTATAGATACAATATTTACTTAGCACACTGTAATAATGGGGAATACATGTAAATTCATGGCTGATTCATGTCAATGTATGACAAAAACCACTAGAATATTGTAAAGTAATTAGCTTCCAACTAATAAAAATAAATGGAAAAAAAATAGAAAAAAAAAAAAACAGAAACACTGAGAATTAAAGCATAAAATGCACCTTTACAGTATTTCTAATGCCTTAAAATATGGAGTCTGAAATAAAGATTAGTGTTAGTAATTTTTGAAATTTTTTGGCTGCCCCAGATCTTAGTTGCAGCATGTGGGATCTTTGATATTCATTTCAGCCTGTAAAATCTAGTTTGTTTGCTTGCTTCCCCCCCCGCCCACCCCGCCCAATTTTATGATTTCCTTCATTTCTTACTTATTGTGGTAAATGGATAATTTATTATTATTATTGTTATTAGACTTCCACCATGGAAGTCCCTAGTCTTGGTAGCATTAAAAATTTCCCTCTATATTTGTTTTCTTAATGTACTTAATTAATTATTAACTTTTGGCTGCACTGGCCCGTCGCTGCAGTGTGTGGATTTCTCATTGTGGTGACATCTCCTGCAGTGGAGCACAGGCTCTAGGCGTGAGGCTTCAGTAGTTGCAGCACTCGGGCTCATAGTTGTGGCTCATGGGCTCTACAGAGCGGGCTCAGCAGTAGTGGCACGGGAGCCTAGCTACTGTGTGGGGTACAGAACCTTCCTGGAGCAGAGCTGGAACCTGTGTCTGCTGCATTGGCAGGCAGATTGTTATCCACTGTGCCAAAAAAAGTGACCATGTACATTTGGAATTGACAGTTAGGGAATTTTGAATGTGTTAACCAATTGTAACATTTCTCATTTGTTATTAAAATAATTGTGCATGGTTTTAGCTATCATAGTCATTATTGTGGTCCCATGTGTGCAAATAAAGTGCTATTTGTATGGAAAAAAGGGAATTCTTTCATATTTATGGGTTCAAAACATAAATATCAACTCATATTATTTAACACCTACTTAATTTAGAATCTCTTCCAAATTCCTATCTCATGCAAGTATAGCTTGCTTCCTTGGGGTTAACAAACACTATCAATAAATATTCCTGATATTTTTGGCAGAGCAAGCAATAGGGCAACTATTCATAATGTATATATAAACATTTATAATAAAATTTTATAAAACATTTATAAAACAATTTTTAATGCATCTCTTAGGGATGGTGTGTGATCTCTAAAAAGCCCTTGAAGAATTTAAGGACATGGAGATATTATTTGTTTGCTGCAAATCCGTTTTCTTTCTGTATAACTTCTGGCACTGCTAACTCCAAGGTCATTCAGGTAGCCACATTCCCCATCTCCTGTCATGCCGAACCTAAAACCAAACACAAAAATATTAAAAAAGCATAGTCTGGACATCTACATTCATTCCTCCTCTATAATCTTCAGTACCACTGACTTCAGGGATTTTTAATATGAACAAGAGAAAAATGAAAATCTGTTGTTCATAAAGCTTCTGAGTAAATATAGATGATTTCTGTATTCAGTTCCTTTTATATTCTCAAAGTCCCGTCTGGAATATTGGAAGATTATCATCATCCATCCCAAATTCAGTTATGTTGTTGACTAGGTATTTAACTAGGGCTCACTGTTGCAGCCAAGTGAACTGCTGCCATGGGTGGTGATAAAAGAAATTGTCACATACTGAAATATGGGTAAGTCATTCTGGCTTATATATGACTTAACTTGAATTTTATGCTATAAAATAGTCTGTGTCATAGTAAACATCCACTGTACATCTACTTTAATTATTAAACAAAAGGGCACACTGACCAGAAGTAAAGAATGTCCAAATTAAAAAGAAAGTTTAAATGTCCCTCTTCTTGAGATACCAACACGGGTCCTCCTTCGATGGTAAGACTCCCTCCCCAGGTGAAAATGCCGTGTCAACCCACCCTGTACTTGTTGGTCTATTCTCTTTTTTTTTTTAAAGCAAAACCTTGAAGGAATGTAACCCTGACTTGCTTAATGTTCTCTTTTCTGACAAGACATAAAACAGGGCCAGAAACCCCGTTTCTCTGAAACAGTTTCTCAGAGTCCATCTGGGAAGTGGGCTTCTGGGCTAGTCCTCAACTTGGCTCAGATAAAACTCTTTTCTATTCTTATTTTTGATCTTTTACTGATTATTTTAATTAGCTTTCAGTGTTCTCCTGACCTGGCTCATACATGGGTGAAAACAAAGGTATGTGCTTACTAGCAAATTCTTAAACAGGCTTAGCTTTGATTGAGGGAAGTGACCGCCCCTTATATTCTATAGGCTCCAAAGTAATGGTTACATTTAAAACATTCCCACTGAAGTGTTCACAACCCAAGATGTGTTACTAAATTCCTTCCAGGGATAAATTATCACAGGAGGGATTCCCACTGGTTCTCTGATATCTTCCTTTTAGGAATCGGCAGAGCAGCTGGCAGAGTGGACTGAGGGTCTGTGTATACCAATTCTTCAGTGGCTTTCCAAGACTGTAGAATCCCAGAGTACCTCAGCTGTTCTCTCTACATTCTAAATATGGATTTCAGCACAGTTTAAGTCAGTGGGTGAAAGCAGAAGAACTATGTCCAATGTCATCATCATGCTAAAGATTTCAACTAAAAATGTGATACGTAAAGTTTTCCCAAAGGCACAGATAACAAACAGAAGAGCATACAAAGGATTTCTTTTTTATACCTCACAGTGCAGCAAACTTTCCATGATATTAAATTTACATTCCCATAAATACATCTCTCACCCATAACCACATATAAATAGAACAGAAGGCAGTCTAAAAACTTACGACGTATTATATGTAGAGTTGTCTGTCCACTTCCAAGCATGATGTGATGATTCTCTGCTAAGGCCAATCCAATGGTCAAAAGGGCCTTTGTATCTTATCAGAAAGTTCTATTATAAAACACAGAAAGCAAAAACACATGTATCCTTCATTTTACCCTTGAGTCCTCTTCCCCCCAGCCTTCTCTCTTTGGATGACAGCCTGGTAAGATTGAGAAGCTTAGACATTGAAGGGAGAAGACTAGTCCCTAGTTCTCAGCTTAAGTCACTCAAATGTCTCTGATCCTAAATTACATTAAAGTGATCACACATCTCAATTTGACTGGGAAAGTCCCAGGTTATGCCTGTGGTTCCAACACAATACTGTCACTTCCAACATAATATTGTCACTTTCACTCCCCAAAATGTCCCAATTTGGGTGATAAATTGCATGATGACCAGACTTCTTTCTACAATGGGAACAATATATCTAATTTGAAGGTTAACCATGAGGATTACATGAGAGAATGTGTCTAAATTGTCTCACAGGGTTCCATGTAGAGAACATACCCAGGAAATATCAGGCACTAATATGCACTCCAAGCCCCCAAGCCTGCCTCGAATGGGATTCTTCCTCTTTTTTCAGCTGTCACCCTGTGCAGCCTACATCCTTATCAGGGGCTAAGTATTCAAGAAAGAACATGATCCAAAAATATTTCTTACCAGCTCCTCCTCGGTATCAAACTGAGCAAGAACAGCTTCACGTGAAGTACAAAATGTCTGACTGAATGTCCAATTCTTTGAGTCTTCAGAAAAATAAAAACACTTACGCCCGAATCCAATCCATCCTTTTGGGCAGGGGACATACAGAATGTGTGAGTCTGGCTTTCTGCTCCTCACTAAAAGTTGAACAGACATAGTAAAGCATAACAAATAAATTTTCTCATCCCTTTTATCTATTTTCCACTTACTATCCTGAGGTCTGTCTTTTTTAACATATGTATGTATTTATATATATATATATATATGTATATATATATATATATATATACATGTGTGTACATGTATATGTAGGTACAATATAAGTAAATTCCAAAATGAGGGGTTTGAAGAAAAGCATGCCAAAGAACAACTAGACTCTTGTATTTTTATGGCCTTGGCTAACAGCATTTTGCTTTTCTCAAAACCTGAACAGGGGCTACTTTCTATAGGTAGACAGATGTTTTCCAAGTACAAACTCATCTGTTTTTCCCAAAGAACAGTTTTTCTTTTTATGTATGTTGGCACCATTCATTACATATAGATTTGTGGAACCAGTTCTCTGCTGCTCACTAAAAGTTGGACAGACACAGTGAACATAAAAAATAAAATGTTTTATCCCTTTTACCTATTATTCCACTTACCATCCTGAGGTTGGTCTTTTTTTTTTAAATTATGTATGTATATACATATACACACACATGTAGTCATGTATGTAAGTACAGCAAAACTAAATTCCAAAATGAGGAGTTTGAAGAAAAACATGACCAAATATAAACTAGACTCTTGTACTTTATGGCTCTGCAAATAGCATTTTGTTTTTCTTAAAATCTCTACAGGACCTACTTTCCGTAGGCAGACAGATTGTCAGAAATGTCTTCCATGCCCAATGCGTTTGTTTATCAGAATGCAGTTTTATTTTATATGTATTTTGGCACCACTCATTACATAATTTCATATTATTTTGCCTCCAGAGTCACATTCTCAGGTGCTTGTCTACATACTAAACACTCTCTATGGATGCCACCCAACTCTGGGTTATATGGAGAATTGCTGAGCTGTAATGCACTTCCAAGTAATATTTCTAATGCCTCTTGAAATGCTACCAGCTTTAACCACTTATGAAACACCAACTGCTACTCACTGTGTGGAAATGTGATTGTACTTTACTGCTTTCAGAAACAGCAGACTTTTCCGAGATCTATTTTCTCTTTTGGTTTCTTGGAGAATGCAATATTGAGATCTGTGGTCACTTGCAGAGTTCTAGCTAGTGGTAGTTGATTTTCCTAAATGATTTTATTAGCTTGAGAGTTTGTCTTGGAAAGAATGTTCTGTGAAAACTAATATATGAATATATATATATATATTTTTTTATATGGTGACTTTTTACCCCTGAGGTCAGTCTTGAAGTACATATTATATTTGATTGTTGCCTCCCAGAGTCATCGCTAACAGTCTTATCTCAGGCACAAAAGTCATCAATCCACTGATCTTCGAGCAGAGAATCTGTGCATCTCACTTCCCAGGGGTCCATGGACACTAATGGTTTTAAGGAAATCAATTTCTGTAGCATTTAATTTCTGTAGTATTCTTTCCTAGCATCATACAGATTTCCCTTTCCCCACATCTTCCTTAATATCAGTCCTTCTTACTCTTGACATAAGAAAGGCAAACTCCTTAGCTTTCCTAGATTTTACTATGATACATCTCTTAGGGGTATAAAACCTTACAGTAGACAAAACATGGCATAGTTCAACTATTGATTTTAGTACCAAAAATACAATGTAGTATTTGCAGTGTTTCTGGAAATGCTATTTCATATGCATTTCTGTTAAATGTGTATAAAAATATTTGGGCCCTTGTTAGATGCTCTGAAACCAGCAAGACATCAGAGTATAGGCTGTGGGAATAATACATGCTTTTGCTTCCTAACCTCACTTTTTCCTCCCTTATCTAATATGATAGGAAATACTGTTGGTTCAACTTTCAAGATAGATTCTGACACCAGGTCCCACGTCCACCAGGGCCAAGTCATGGTCCGCTCTGGTGTGGATTTCTATAAGTTTACCCTAGTAGATATTCCCAAAGTCTAACTTTTCTTCCAACAGTCTGTTCTCGATGTAACAGTCAAAATGGTTTTATTCTACAATGAAATTCAGATCATGGTATTCCTCTCCTACAATTTCCCTCTTCCTGATGCCCCCCACTGCACTCAGATTAAAAGCCAAAGTCTTCACCTGACTCAGTAGGCTGTGACCTCCCTGACCCCCAGTCCATTACTCTTCTGCATTCTCACCTGGATTCAATTGTAGAAGCCTCCCTGCTGTTCCCCAAACCTGCCAGGAGCTTCCTCCTTTCATTCTACTTGTTCCTGCCATCTGCAATGTGTTCCCCACTTGCCCAATGGCTCCTTCATCTCCTTCAAGTTTGCCGAAAAGTCATCTTCTCAAAGAGGCTTTCCCTGGACACTTATATTCATCTCAATCTGTTACCCTATATTATAATATCTCCATCTTCCTGCTATTAATAGAATAGCAGTTCCCTGGGACAGGGAATTTTTTGTGTTTTGTTCACTGATATACCTCAGGCATTTCACACACCCTGGCACATAATGGAGCTCAATAAATATTTATTTACAGTGTGAATGTGCAAAGAACATGGTACAGCTTGGAGAACAGGTAACTCACCTGCCACACAAATGGAAAATAAGACCACATTTAGAGCTATAAGCACAAAGATAATCACGATGCAGCAGTAAAGCTTGGCAGGTGTAACAGGAGATATAATTGCTAGGCATTCCTTTCGGAAATCTTTACCTGTAAATGGAAATGTCATAATCTCAGTCTCATGGAAGCATTAGAAAGAAAAACTTAAATGTATCACAGAATCCACATGTAAAGTCAGCTGTACCTCACCTCCCCTATTGCCAAAATCCCTCACAAAAGGTCCACGTCCAGGAGAGATGGCCATGGCTGAAAAGCGACCCAGAGATAAGAGAAACAGTATTTTTCCCCTGGAGAGTCTTCCAGTTATTGTAAGAAGAGCTAATAAGAGAGTAAGAAACAGACAGACTAGAAACCAGAATGAAAACGAAACATACAAACAATCCAAATTTACCTCCTTAAATAACAAATTTGGTTAGAAGTTATAAGAGGAGCATTAGAGAACTAATCAATATAATTCATCATGTTAACAGAATAAGAGAAGAGAAAGGATATGATCATCTATATACGCATAAAAGGAGAAGGAAATGGAAACCCACTCCAGTATTCTTGCCTAGAGAATCCCATGGACAGAGAGGCATGGTGGGCTGCTGTCCATAGGGTCGCCCAGAGTTGGACATGACTGAAGTGATTTAGCATGGATGCATGCATGCATAGACATAAAATGTGGAAAAATGTAACAGTCATCCAAAATAAGAAAGCCCAACAAATTATGAACTGAACTTTCACTTTTCATAGAAATAGTACAGCTACCATGATACTTAATGGTGAAAAAGTGAATGCCTTCCTCTAAAGGTCAGGAACAAGGCAAGGATGTCTTTTCTTAACAATCCAATTGAACATTTTACTAGAGGTTCTATCAGTGCCAAAAATGCAAGAAAAATAAATAGAAGACATATGGAGATTAGAAAGAAGTGAAAGTGTTTCCAGATGTGGTATCCATTCACCTCCCAGTAGAAATAGCAATTTGAAAATTATCTGCACATGAATCTACCTTCCCCAGAGCCAAGGATTCCAGGCACACCCACCCCTGCCTTGTCCCAGCTCCTTGCCCTCCAGCAGTCCCAGCAGACAATGCAGGCTCAGACAGCTTCCACCCCGGGCTCCCTGTGGGCTCCTAGGAGCCAGGCTCCTGTCTGCCCGCTGCACCTGCCAATTCCAGCAGCTCCAGGTGGGGCTCCTGTGTCCCTTGGCTCCTGGTGAAGTCCTGGGGGCCAGGCCCCCCAAACCCTTCCCTCGCACTCAGCAGTCCAGCACAGACAGAGACCCTCTCCCTGTGGGAAAGGAGAGTAAAGCAGCACTTGACTTCACTACAGATTCCAGGTCTACCTGCTCTAGCCTCACATCAGTCTGACTCCTGCAGCCCTGGGTGACAGCCTGCAGGCTCACTAACCGAGGCCCCCCTCTCCCCAGTGCCTGCCGGCTCCAGTGAGCCAAGCGACTCCTGTGACATTATGCTCCTGGCAGGCTCCTGGTAACCCAGGCCACCTTTCACCCTAGGGACTGTGGACTCGAGTGCCCATAGGCAGCTCCTATCACTCCTGCTGGCTCCCATGAGTCAAGAAACCAACACAACCAGTCGTTGTTGTTTAGCTTCTAAACCTTGTCTGACTGTTATGCGACCCCATGGACTGTAACCTGCCAGGCTCCTCTGTCTATAGGAGTTGGCTCCTATGTCCATGGGATTTCCCAAGCAAGAATTCTAGAGTGGTTTCTCATTTTCTTCTCCAGGGGATCTTTCCAACCCAGGGATCAAACCTATGTGTCCTGCTTGGCAGGGGGATTCTATATACCACTGAGCCACCTGGAAAGCTCCAACCAGTCACTAGGGAAACATGAAATACAGTGAGCTGCCACAAGATGTGTATCAGACTGGCAAATAAAATAACAAAACTAAATGATGGTGAAGAAATGATACAAATGGAATTCTCATAAACTATTGAAAATGCAACAGCACAGCCACTTTGGAAAACAGTTTGGCAGTGAGGTGAGGCAAACATAACCTCACCATATGCCCTAGCAATGCCATCCCTAGGTATCTATGCAAGAGGAATGGAAATTTCCATTTACACACAAACCTATACTTGAACATTTATAATAACTTTAATTATTGTCACCAAAAATGGGCAACAATTCAAATATCCTTCAGCTGGGAGAAAGGTAAATAAAGACCACTTTTTACTAAGAAAAAAGAAAAACTTGACCCCATGCTCACAATTGCTTATTTATTATTTTGCTTTGGCTCAGTAAAATTTACTGAGCCTTTCTCCTCCCCAAAGACCAAGAGAACTCTGGATTGCCTGAAAATACAAAAGGCACTAAAGAAAGGAGTGAGATGCTTCCCAACTCATGTGTGATCATGACCTCACGTCCCCAGAACACTAGTGAGAAGTGTGACTTTGGAAATGCCACTGGCTCTTCCACCCACCTCTCCCTTCCCCATGAAGTGTTCTGTTTCCCTTCTTTCCTTACTTAAAAATGAGAACACTTTTTAGAGAGTGTTTCCTATTGTGACAGTCCTTGTGAATAATGTCTCTCCTTATTAAGTCCACACTATTGATATACAGTACAATATAGATGAATTTCAAATGCATTTTGCTGGTGAAAAATGCTTGACTCCGTAGGCATTCTTCAAGAGTAACAAAACAGAAAAGAAATCATTGGTTGCCAAATGATGAGGAGAGAACAAAGAAATATTTACAGAGAGCATGTGTGTGGGCAGGGGGAGGGTACCCTTATTGTGTTGTGGCCATATGATTATATGTATTTGTCAAAACTCATAGAAATGTACACCAAAAGGTGAATTTTTGTGAATGTCAATTTCACTTTTTTAAAGTTCCTGCTAACTTTCTTTCAACTGCTACATTTCACTCATTTCATGTATATCTTATAGAATGTTCAGGAGCCTCAGTTTAAATGCTAGACAGGGGGAAAACATATAGGATTGATGTCTTTAGATGCTATACAATGACATTTGAATTTTGGCTCCATATAAAACTTTCCGCCTTCATTCTTTCTGATTCTGCATTAAAGCACAATTTTCTTAGAAATTCTGTATGTTATGACTTCCGAGAAATGGAAGATTTCCTGCCATAACAGTAAGCAAAGGATGTCACAGTAATCAGCAATTGCAGTCATCACAGAATGGTGAGCTGGTGAGCCCTGAGGGAACTCAGGAGGGGAGAATTCCCTCCTTCTAGTAGCCCTCAGACTGCAGCCACTCCCTATGCTGAGCCCTGAAGAAACTCACAATATGAAAACACAGGATACTGGCCCCAAATAGTTGAGGTGCATATCAAAGTAATGATTTCAGTGAGACCAGAGTCTTGAATCTTCCCATACATAGAAAAGTGCTAAATTCCTTAATCTGGGATGTCTGGTTTTCTTTAATTTACAAAAAAAAAAAAAAAAACTTTTGATATTCAAAGGCTACATGCTCTTTGTTGCAAAGTTTCTATATTGCCTGGCTCCCTCATCTCCTTGGAGCAGTTCTCCCAGGGTTATTTGAGATGCTGTCTCCTTGGCTTAAGTTCTAAAAGTTCCTACTGAATAAAACATAACTCTTGTAACCAAGAAGGGTTAATTTTGACTCCATACAACATCTGTTTCTGTGACTTTAACTCTCATTTCACTGCTTTTGTTATTAAAGGCATACATAATGGCCTGTCTCAAGGAGCTCTGCCTGCCCCACCTCCGCCTGCCTCTTGGGCTAGGGCGCCTTTGTTTGGCTATCAGGGAGATAGCCTGACTCTGCTCATATGTAAAGGGATATGACATCCCTCTTCTTTGTGTGGGAAATTAAACCCCTCCTCTGCTGCTTACCAGCCTGACTGAGAAATTCATATTTATAGGCCAGAACTGAAGAGAGCTCTGACATCTTTGTTTTGATATTACAGGGTATATTTCATGTCACACCACCCATGAAATGATGTAAAGAAGTGAAACTAACACATCCCTCTGCGTGAGGCTTGGTATTCTGAGAGATACCAACAAAAATCAATTTTTTTCTTTTTATTTTGTTTCCTCTCCTCTCCCCATCTCTGATCCATAAAATAACCTGGTATCCAGACCCCGACATGATGGTTCTTTCAAGATGTTAGTCAGCCATCTTCTTGGTCAGCCAGCTCTCTGAGTAAAGTCATATTCCTTGCCTAAATACCTTGTCTCTCAGATTTATTAGCCTATTGTCAGGGGTGAGCAGAGTGAGCTTGGGCTTGGTAATACTCTCAACTTTTAGGTTGTGAATACTTTTTTAAGTTTACACTTCCACAATTTTTTTCATTGTTAGAAGAGTAAGATGTGAATCTCCCCATACCTCTCTCCAATGAATCTTCTATTTGCCCCTTACTAATATTCTAGTGGTGGGTAAATAGGAGATTCATTGGAGAGAGATAAGGGGAGATTCACATCTTACTCTTCTAACAATGAAAAAAAAAATTGTGGAAGTGTAAATATTCTAAAAGGGCGTCCCTTGTAGCTCAGTCAGTAAAGAATCTGCCTGCAGTGCAGGAGACCCAGGTTCGATCCCTGGGTTGGGAAGATCCTCTGGAGAAGGAAATGGCAACCCACTCCACTATCCTTGCTTGGAAAATCTCATGGACAGAGGAGCCCGGTGGGCTGCAGTCCATGGCATCACAAACAGTCGGGCAGAACTGAGCGACTAACAAGGACTTACTTACTAATATTCTAAAAGGGGCTTCCCTGGTAGCTCAGCTGGTAAAGAATTTGCCTGCAATGTAGGAGACCTGGGTTTGATCCCTGGGTTGGGAAGATCCCCTGGAGGAGTTCATGGTATTCTTGCCTGGAGAATCCCAATGGACAGAGGAGCCTGTTGGGCTACAGTCCATGAGGTCGCAAAGAGGCAGACATGACTGAGTGACTAAGTACAGTATTCTAAAAGTCTCCCCCTTTTCTTCTCTTTATTTCTCTATATCTTTCTCCTAACACCCTCCCTTGTTTCATGTTTCATGTCTCTTTCTTGCTTACTTTCTTCCCTTCTGTTTTTTTGTATGGATATAAAATTTGCCACCCCAAAAATGTTTATTTGCATGTGGATTATTTCAACCTAAAAATTAGCAAGGCAACCAAAATCCAGGAAGAATCTTTGATCTTCGCCCTATTTGTCTAAAAGAATTTAGCTAGAGGGGCTGTTTAGAAGAGAGCTATCACCAGAAATATCTGCAAAGATTATGGACCTGCATGTGGTTGGGGAGACTGGTCAGGGCCTAGAGATCAGAGTCTATCTTGGCCCTAAAGATCTTTGTCTCTGCACAGCCCTGCAAACATTTTATTCACCAAACTTCTGCTTTTCCATTTCCATTTCCTCCTCTCTGTAGTCCCAAACCACTACCCCCAACATCTTTTGTCTTTAGCTGAAGATGCTATTTAAGGTGAAGCTATTGGCCATTTTGGTGAGTTACTCAGTTTTCCTGGGTCTGTCTCATGTATACATATGATTCAACCTGAGATGTGGAATTTCTTGCCATATCAATAAACAAGGATGTCACAGTCATCAGCAGTTTTGACCCTCCAAATGTGAAATTCTGAGCCTCGAGTGTGCTTAGGAAGGAGAATGATGCTTGCTATCTGGCAGTCATTAAGCTGCAGTCACTCCCTGCTGTGAGCACCAAGGAAAAGTGCAGGAGACCAGCCCCAGACAGCTGCGGTGCGTATCAAGGGAATGATTTCCGTGAGCCCAGACTTACATCTTGAGCACATAGAAATCACTACATTCCTTAACTTGGGATATCTGGTGTTCTTTAAATCACAATAATGTTTTGATGTTCAGATTACCTGCCCCTTGTTCTAAACTTCGACATAAACTGACTCCCTCCACCTCCCCTCCTCAGAGCAGTTTTTATGGGGTTACATGAGACATTATCCCCCAGGCTTGAAGCCCTAAAAATTCCCATCGAATGAAAGGTAACTCTCAACATTAAGTTACATGTATTTTTTCAGTCTGCAAAGTTTTGTTTGATTTTTATTTATCTGTCTCATGTCAATTTAATTCTTAAACCAGAAGAGCAGAGGAAAATGTCTTTCTCCCTTATACTCTCCTGTGGTGTGTCCTCTTCCTGTCTCCCTCTAAATTCATGTGGCTTTTATGTTACACTCTGAACACAATAACCTTCAAATGTCTAGTTTGAACAATGGTGTTAGAAATTATCTCACAGAAGAACAAAGAAGTGAATCATATTACAGTTCTACAGGTTTTAACTTTCATTTCATGTACTAGAAAACTTAGTTAATTTACAGAAACAGTTTAAATTAAAAAAAATAGATTTCACATTTGCACTGGTCAAATAGCTTCAGCTACATAAGCACTTGGCATAAGTAGTAAAATATTAAAGTTCCTTAAGAACTTTATTTTTCATTAAACATGAACCCTGTGTCTCAGGAACTTCAATATCCTGTTGTCCCAGATACAAAATAAAATGCAGGGAGAGGTAATAGGGAAAGAAAATGAAGAAAATGCGTATTTTAGCAGAAATTAGACGTTCAGTAAAAGGATTTCTTTTTCTTGGACTAAAGTACAAACATGCAAGAACTACATTCTTTTTCTCATTAAACTTGCTGTAACATAAAAATGCTAAAGGATTTGCTGGTAGATGGATTTAGCCTCCTACTCCTACCATGAACCTCCACATCTGTTTTTCAGTTACAAAAGAAAAGCAAAAAGCAATATATGGGAAACCGCTGTAATTTAATGATTATTCAAGAAAGCAGGTTTGCTTAACCACAAAACCAAGAAGGCTTGTCTAGCAACAGAATCATGTGATAGAAGCACGAGACATGCCCCCAAACAATAAAACAGTGACACAATAAGACCCTAATCCTGTGCAGTGAGCTCAGTAAGTTAATGATTCTTGTGATATGCACATTAAAAAAAATTTGTGGACCTAGCTTGACCATGTAGAGAAAGGAAACTCCTGATCAACCTGGAGGAGTTGCTAATGATGGAAGCATGACATGTACTCAGGAAAGACAAAGGTCTTCTCCACCACCTACTTTTCCTTTGATAATAAAGCTGTAGTCCAGTAAGTTCTGCAGTGCAGGAGGACACTGCCCACCCACTTGAAAGCCTCACAAGTGTTCTATTCTAATAAATCACTTCTTATCTATCACCAGGGCTTCCCTAGTAACTCAGATGGTCAAGAATCTGCCTGCAATATGGAAGATCTGGGTTGGATCCATGGCTTGGGGAGATCACCTGGAGAAAAGATCGGCTACCTACTCCAGTATTCTGGTCTGGAGAATTCAATGGACAGAGGAGCCTGGCAGGCTACTGCCCATGGGATTGCAAAGAGTCAGACACAACTGAGCGACTTTCACTTTCACTTATTTATCACTTTGCCTCTCAATGAATTCTTTCTGGGCTCAAAGATAAAGAACTATGGTACCAGAGCTCTTTGGAGCCCCTGTAACGACACCAAACAGTTTCACCAATAGTCCTAGTTTTTGCAGTTAACCTTTATTTTTTTGTCAATAATTATTCATGGCTTTATTAAATAAAAGTCTCTTTAGAGAACAGTAAGAAATTAATTCTCAGCTAACATCAGGGGAGAGTGACAGGAGGTTACAATTTTTTTTAATGCATGGATATTGATAATAACATTAACCAGATAGGTACTATATTTCAACAACTATTTTTATTAATAAATCACTATGTTACATTAATACTCTGATGCTCTCATTAAATCAAAACTGTTTAACTAAAATGGTTATATTTAAAAGATACTTTTAATTTTAATGTGATATTTTAATATCACTACTGACAATGTCTGGTAAGATATTATAGAAACTACTTTGGTAATGTACTCTAAAAAGGATGATATAAAGCTTAACCATTTAAGATGCACTATGATCAAAGGACCACAGAATGAAAATAAGAGAAAGATATAATAACAGAAGTATACTATATATATATAAAACAGTATATATAAATAACAGAAATACACTAGACCCCATGAGAAAGAGAAAGAGACATAAAGAGGGAAAGAGACAGAGGGAAAGACAAAGAAAATTATTTGGACACATAAATGAGCCTCAATAGATTTTAGCTGAAACACTTAATGATATTACTGAAAATCATATTTACCCTTAATTCCAAAAGGAAATTTGCAGGGAAATTTTGTGCCAAATGGAAAGAAAACATACATTTATATTTATTTAAAATTTTATTTTATATTATTTTATTTTACCTTATCTTAATATCTTATCTTATGTTATCTTATTCAAATTCTTTTCCTATTTAGTTTGTTACATCATATTGAGCAGAGTACCCTGTGCTATATAGGAGGTATGGGCAGCTTTTATTAGTATATGTACTACAAAATTGTTGCTGTCTGTTTGCCATCACCTCTGGAATATGATCATCTATTATTTAACATCATAATGTGAGTTGCCAGAATGCAAGTTGCTAGTAACCTGGAGAAAATATGAAGACTAATTAAAAACAAAACCCAAAGACCATTTTTCTCTTTACCTCCTATAACATAATTCACTGTGCAGTAATATTTAAGTAACATATCCAGAAGCAGAATAACTAATATAACAATTACACACCTTCCCTCTCACCCACCTCTAGTCCCTCAAAACATCTCTCTGTCTATGGACGTTAACTGTGAAGTACTGATACTACTGAAGCACAATTTCTACTCTGCTGTAGTGGTCAGTAGTACAAGAACTCCCTTCCCCAACTCCAATTTTGTTTTGTCAAAGTGTATCAATTTTACCTTACCAGATCTCCACGCCTCCTCATTCGCTCTACAGGTAGGGTCTGTCTCTAAGATTTTTAAAGACACCTCCGTCGTCGTTGTCATGTTTCTGTCATGTTTCAAAAAAAGCATTTGGTGGTACCTTTTCTCAGTAGTTGCAAAGCAGGAAATGTGAATTGAAAGGAAACTCTGTTAATATATGAGTTAAAAGAATCTAACCCTCCCAGTTCAGACTCCACCTCTCATTGCAAAAGACCCTGTTGATGAAAGTGAGAGTGAAAAGGCTGGCTTAAAACTCAACATTCAAAAATCTAAGATTATGGTGTCCAGTCACATTACTTCATGGCAAGTAGATGGGGAAACAATGGAAACAGTGGCAGACTTTATTTTCTAGGGCTCCAAAATCATTGCAGATGGTGACTGCAGCCATGAAATCAAAAGACACTTGCTCCTTGGAAGAAAACTTATGACCAACCTAGACAGCATATTAAAAGGCAGAGACATTACTTTGCCAACAAAGGTCCATCTAGTCAAAGCTATGGTTTTTCCAGTGGTCATGTATGGATGTAAGAGTTTGACTATAAAGAAAGCTGAGCACCAAAGAATTGATGCTTTTGAACTGTGGTGTTGGATAAGACTCCTGAGAGTCCCTTGGACTGCAAGGAGATCAAATCAGTCAATCCTAAAGGAAATCAATCCTGAAAGTTCGTTGGAAGGACTGTTGCTAAAGCTGCAATACTTTTGCCCACCTGATATGAAGAACTGACTCATTGGAAAAGACCCTGATGATACATCTTTTCAGAAGGCAAAAGGAGAAAGGGGTGCCAGAGGATAAGATGGTCAGATAGTATCACTGACTCAATGAACATGAATCTGAGCATACTCTGGAAAATAATGGAGGACAGAGGAGCCTGGTGTGCTACAATCCTCAAGGTTACAAAGAGTTAGACACAACTTAGCAATGGAACAACATCCTGTCACTATGTCACTGGGTGCAGACCTTCCAAAAATATACATGTTGTTGTTCAGTCACTCAGTCATGCCAACTCTTTGCGACCTCATGGACTGCAACATGCCAGGCTTCCCTGTCCTTCACCATCTCCTGGAGCTTTGCTCAGACTTATGTCTATTGAGTCAGTGATGCCATCCAACCATCTCATCCTCTGTCATCCCCTTCTCCTCCTTCCTTCAATCTTTCCCAGCATCAAGGTCTTTTCCAATGACTCAACTCTTCACATCAGGTGGCCACATTTACAGTCATCCCTTGTGCTATTGGAAATGAACATGAGGCAGGAGCTAAATGGACTCCAGGCTCTACAACTGGACTTTGTCCCCTGTGGACAGATACCCCAAGACAAAGAGGAGGAGGAGCTAAGCCCTGCTCAGATATGAGATAGTACTTTTCTCATTCTCAAGGTCCAGAGGACCTTTCCAAGAATACACCCGCAGTAAGGCTCTTTGTAGATCAAAAAGGGAGTAATGTCAACCTGCCCACAGGCCTCTTCACTAGAACCCATCTTGGCTAAGAAATGTGGGTACACATATGGGAGGACACTGCTGCTGCTGCTGCTAAGTCGCGTCAGTTGTGTCCGACTCTGTGCGACCCCACAGACGTCAGCCCACCACACGCCCCCGTCCCTGGGATTCTCCAGGAAAGAACACTGGAGTGGGTTGCCATTTCCTTCTCCAATGCATGAAAGTGAAAAGTGAACACTGATATATACCAAACATGGACTCAGATTCAGCCAAAGCAAGATGTTTGGCCAAAGAAAACCCAGAAGAAAATCTCATAAAAGTAATTCAAACTACCACAAGGACCTGACACTCTGGGCTTGCCAGTGTGTGCCTATTCACATGTACTTTTTTCCCTCCTAATAAATGTTTCACTTTTTTCACTAATTTTGGTTTTCCTGTGGAACTTCATTTTTCTGGAAATGAATCTTCATGGCCAGGATTCAGCACTTGGCCTGACTTCAATCTCTGGCCAGAAACCAAAGTCCTGTTTCAAGTCCCTGTAGGTTGGGGCCATCCAAGTTCAGACATGTCTTCACAAAAACCTTTGCCTTTCTCTGTTCAGGTGAAATAAACAAACAAACAAACAAAAAAAAAAAACAAGGAGACCTTAGCCATAGCACAGCTTCAAAATAAAAGAAACTTATGTCCCTGAATTTCCATGTGGAAGAAAGCTGCATTCTAACTAGAGCCTCCTGTATTTCACAGCTACATGAGTGATAAGTAAATGTACACTGTGCTATCAATGAAATTTAGGAGGTTATCTATTGCAGCAGCTATGTAGCATATCTAATTAGAGTGGCAGCCTCATTTTTTCCATATTTTTTGCATTACTAATCACTTCTTATCCAGTCACCATATATCTGCAGACTGTTTACTACTATGGCAGGTGCTGAGAAACAAACTCTGCAAATTCTGATGAAGAGGATGAAGCAGGCACCTGGGTCTTGTGTGGGAGAGGTCTGGATGGATTTTCCAGAATGGGTGAGGCAAGGTTAGTGTCTTCTCTGGTGTCTAGTCAAGAGAGGGACATTTTAAAAGATTACAGTTTATAGTACCACTGAAAATTTGACAGAGCTAAGAGCAATACCAAACTGAAATTATAATAGAGTGATCATTATAATGAAGTGTTCAGCATACGAAAATGGAGTTGGAAGGCAAGGGTCTGATTTCAGAATTCAAGAACTAGAACTTCTTTGTAAATTTGTATTGTACCACACAAAAGGACAGAGCAACACCTGCCGATTCCTGTGGCCTCAAGGTACCCCGAGAAATCTTGTTGTCTCCCTCAAGATCTCCCTGCCTCCCTTTCCGGTGTTCGTGCAACTAATCCTTGCTTAACACACTTCACTTCTCATCAACTAAAGTTTTAATGCTTGAGAAACAAGATTTGTAATGAACCTATGGGTTCTCGCATTTAAAAGAATAAATAAATAAACTTCCTCCTTTTCTTTTAATGTGTCAGTCACAACTCAGAGCTTCCTGCATCTGTGTCTCCAAGCTGGGGCTCTAACAATCCAGCCAAAAATGCGTCTTCTTCTCAACCAGGTCTTTGTTTCTGAAATTTCAGTTAATAAAAACAATACATTAGGAAAATGGTGATACACTTAACCTGCATGACACCAGGAAGGGAACATTTTTTTTTTTTTAACACTCTTATTCTGCCAGAGGGAGCTTAAGGCTCTTCAGACAAAGCTGAAAGACAAGTCTCCCCAAGAATACTGTGTTTCTGGAAAGGAGGGGAATTCAGGCCAGTTCCAAAGGCATCTCAACTTTTCAATTAAGATACAATCCTGGGAGTGAGGCAGACGGAGACAAAAAGGGGAAAGACCCTGAATCATGTCACTAAGAACGCCTGCCGCCTTCTCTCAGCCTTTCAAAACCCTTAATCCCTAGACCACAGAGCTTACCCTAAGCAATCTCCCAGTCACCCAGTAAAGTTCTGCAAACTCCTATGAAGAGGGCAGCTTAGGCACACGTTCATCCGAGGAGAAATCAAGTCAATTTTTTTCAAATCACCCAAGCAGGCCAGATGTTCACTCATTGAGACAGCCCTGGAGAATTTGTAACCTGCTTGAGACCAGAAGGCAGTTTCTTCCTTCTCTTCTCCTCTCAGCAGTAGCGGTTCCTCTTTCTCTATGACTTTGCTCTGGACCAGAGGTGGCCAACAGAGAAGGAAATAGCAACCCACCCCAGTATTGTTGCCTGGAGACTCCTGTGGACAGAGGAGCCTGGTGGGCTGCTGTCCATAGGGTCTCACAGAGTCGAACAGGACTGAATGACTTAGCATGCGTGCATGCATTGGAGAAGGAAATGGCAACCCACTCCAATATTCTCACCTGGAGAATCCCAGGGATGGAGGGGCCTAGTGGGTTTCCGTCTATGGGATCGCACAGAGTCGAACACGACTGAAGCGACTTAGCAGCAGCAGCAGAAGCAGCAGAGGTGGCCAAATAGGGGGATGCGGCATCTCAGGGCTGCGACGGCTGCCCTCTCCCAGCGCCTCCAGCTTCCCTGCGGGACGACCACACCCCTCTCCATCCACGGCTGTCTCCCACATCCAGGTCCCATTGTCTGCCAAGGTCTGAGGGAGACACCGGATGCAGGGTGTGGAAAATAGACCGATGGACCGAATGGTACCCCAGATTGTACTATATAACCCTCCCTCCCCGCCCTCCGCCCTAGATGTTACACCCCACGTCCTGTTTTTCATTTCTCAGGAGTTTGAGGCAGAAAAGGAAGTCAGAACGCTTGTAAACAGGTTGCCTGCCGTTGAAGGGTCTTTGGCCCCTTTCCAACCTGCCAAACGCTTGATGGGGACCTGGTGGACTAATGGTGGATCTAAGAGGACAGCCCTCTGCTCAGGCTGTCTGCCATACTGGGTCCTTTCCTAGCAGAGCCCGAGAAAGTCTGCATACATCTCCACAGCCTGCGAGTCTCCCTGGCCTAACAGAGATGGGGATAAGGTGTTGTCTCTTTGAGGTTCAACCTGTGGTAACCAAGACCTCTGAGAATAGAAACCCCCACCCACACACACAAACCTACTCTAAAAGGCATTGATTCGTGGCTTGTTAGCACCACTGTTCTCAGAAGATCATACACAGATCAAAACTCCAGGCTAATATGTTCTGAGGTTACAAAATGAGGAAAGGTTATAAAGGCCAAAAACTACAAGGTTATATAAATTGTCAGAAATTAGGATTAGAGTTGGGAAGAAATAAGAACGCTTGTTTAAACAGGAGTTGTTTGGGGTTCAAAATGGTTATGCAGTTGCAGGAGTAGGAGGGAGGCACTTTGAAACTGTGTTTGTAGCTGGCTCTGCTTGCAGATACTATTTTAAAAATGTCTGGTGATGGTCTTGAGTTTGATGCAATTCAGAAAGTTTAAGTTCTCAGTGATGCATATGCAAGTTCTCAGATGCAAGAATGCATCTGAAACTACCTCCACCTAAGGCCATCTGGCTCCATTTTGTATGTGTGAACCAGAGTTACTCCATTTTTATTTTTGAAAGATCTTAAATACATCATCAGGCTTCCCTGGTGGCTCTGTGATGAAGAACCTGCCTGACAATGCAGGAGAGGCAGGTTCAATCCCCGGTCCAGGAAGATGCCTTGGTGAAG